CACACACACACACACACACACACATACACTGTCTCTCTCTCTCTTTCTCTCTCGTCCTCCATCTAACGCCCACGTCCAACTCATACACAAACACGCTTTCTCTCATTTATGTGCCCCATTTTACAATGGCTCTCATAACATTTCTTTAACAAAAAAAACTTTGTTCAGATCTTTTCTTTTCTCCCAAAACCTGTTTGTCTTGATCGCTTCTGTCCATCTTAGTTCCTTATGGATTTTGGTATTTGATTAAAGAAAGGACAAAAACCCCTCGAAGCTTCCATTTCTTAATGAGATGATGTGATGGCTTTGTTTTGCCGTGAGCTCAAAAGCACACATTTTCCCATGTTTGCGGCAAGAATGCAAGAAACGTTGTTCATTAATTTCCATAAAGTGGGCTTTTTTATCGACAAAAACTGAATCAGAAATGATCCGTACGTTAATTAATTCAGACGAGCTCTAGTTACATGGAAGATTTGAGAACTGGGCAGACACTAAAACTAACAGATTCTAATTAAAAAGTTCCCCGTAACGGTGTGCTCATCAAAAATCATTGCCCACATGGAATAAATGGTCTTGTTTCCAGCATTGCCAATTTGAATGTTCAGCACAATATCTCCAGGACACTCTGACTATTTAGATTATCTCTTTAGATTCAAATTACTGTAATTTGGTTTAGCTCTTCGTCTTAAGAGCAAAAGTCGCTAATTCGATTCCCGCATAGGAAGACACTTGATGCATTGGTATCCGTCTTTCTGCAGGGATATACCATTCTACACAATACGGATTGCCGTGACAGGCAGGTCTATTTAAAAAGCCTTTCAACTATCTAAATGAACGATAAACATTATCATCAGTCAGTCACTCTAATTAAGATCATTTAAGGAACAACAGGAAACCTTGCCATCCCATTTAGACATCCAAAGTGACAAGCCGAATCATAATAAGTGTGCAATCTACGATAAGAACAAAAGATGAGCCTGGGAGATATTATGCGCGCTCGCGTCGTGTGTGTGTGTGTGTGTGTGTGTGTGTGTGTGTGTGTGTGTGTGTGTGTGTGTGTGTGTGTGTGTGTGTGTGTATATACTCACGCACAGAGAGAGAGAGAGAGAGAGAGAGAGAGAGAGAGAGAGAGAGAGAGAGAGAGGGGGGGGGGGTACGTTTGTATATTAGAGAGACACAGACACACAAACAGACAGAAAACAAGTGTGTGCGTACATGTATTTTAAAGACAAATATTGAATAGTGGATGTGTGGGTGTATATATGTGTTTGTCTACCAGCGTGCGTGCGTGTATGTGTGTGGGCCTGTGTGGGTCTACCGGCGTGCATGCGTGTTTGCGTGCTTGCGTGTTACAAGAGAGGAGATGGGTTTCTGCCATCATCTCTGCGGCCTGCGTTTGGAGTGGCAGCGTCCAGCGGTTCCATCAAGCTCTAGGGCTGTTGTAAAAGAGACGAGGCTATCGCTGGTCTCTCAAGTACTGGTGGCTCTCAGAGGGTCCCTGGCCTCGGGTCAGAGGTCACGCGAGGCCGCGGGCTGATCAAACACCGGGGGAAGATGAAATGGTGTCCGGGGAAATGGACGAGAGAGTTGGGGGATCGTGTGAATGAGTGAAATACAAAGAGTAAGGAGAGAGAAAGAGGAGGGGGTGAAGGGGATGGAGAGCAGGAGGGAGGGGGGCAGTG